TGATCTGTACCCATGTACATGCTCTGGTCTAGCCAGATTTGAGGTCATGATGAGGGGGGGCGGCGGAGATGGGGGCGCAGAGGTCCTTCCTCAATCATGCACCACGTGGACCTAACACAACCTGACTCCTCGCACCAAGTGGAACTGGGGCCGTCCACCTCCGCGAGGGCAGCACCCACTGCTCTTCCACGGGGCAGCTGGCTCCTTTGCACCCAGCCCTCAGGCAGCAGTCTCAGGCTTAACCCCCTGGGCCCCTGGGGTGTCCAGAGAACGGCCCCCCCAAGGGCGTTCAACAGCTGATGGGGGCTGAGATGGGGAATGGCAGCAGGCCTTTCCTCTGCAGCACCTCTGGGTAGATTAGAACTGTCCATGTTTTGGCTCTAGCAGCAGCACGCTAACTGTTTTTTGTATCTTGCCAAACCAGACCTGGAAGATGGGGTGCTCAGAGAAAACAAAGCCTCCCAATCTCATTGATGCTGACTCAGAGTGACTTTACGGACAGAGTGGAACTGCCCGAGGAGGGGGTCAACACTGTGAGTCTTTACGGGGACAGACGGCCTCGTCTTTCTCCCACCGTGTGGCTGGTGGGTTCAAACCGCTGACCTTGTGGTTAGCAGCCCAAGCGTGCACAGAGCCACGCAGCAACAGGGTGGCTCTCACATGCGCCCAGCTCTGGGGAGGAAGGTGGTGTCAGGGAGGGCTCTGCTGACCCGGCATTCTGGGAGAGGCAGACCTGCAGAGGTGCACGACAGACGGGGGTGGGGGTGGGGGGACTCTCCCAGGGGGCTCTTGGTGTGTGTGTGTCTGCCTGGGCTGTTGGACCGGTTCTCCCTCCACCCCGGTGGTGGTGACTAGATCCCAGGTGGCTGTGGAAGCTCATGGAATGTGCACCGAGGACGGGGAGCACCCTTTGTTATGGACAGCCCCCAGCCCCGAGCCCCTACGTGCCACAGCACACAAGAGGCTGCCGACACCCGTCTCCCTCACCCCCGGCGTCCACACGCTCCCGTGCCCCCCTCCAGTGACATCTGTCCCTGCCTGTCCCACGCCCAATCGGCAAGTCCTGCCTGGACAACACAAGCTAGGGTTGCTTTGGAGACAGAAGCAAAGATCGCCTGATGAAGTGGCAGCCCTGCACCCTTCCTAGGTATTCTCGGGAAGAAAAGGGCCCGGACGTGCCCCCCACCCCCCCTAGCAGGTCCTTGCTGGGTGCGAGCGGCCACCAGGTGCCCCAGCCGCTCCGTGCAGGGCTCCAGCCCTGTACCCTCATGGAGGGAGGGACGCTCCAGAAATAGACCACAGAGCCCACTCCGGAGGCTGCCAGCAGCAGCCAGGGGCTGTGTGAGCGGGGTATAAATATACGCGGATTCGGCCAGTCTGCCTGACTCCTGGCAGCTGGGGGCCGTCACTCTCAGGATGTGCAATGAGGGCTGCCAGTGACCTAGGTGGACGGTCAGTGCCCACTGCCAGCCTCTTCCCCCTCTCCCTGTCCCCGACCCTCCTCCCAAGATGGCTCTGCCACATCTCCTACAGCCTCTGGCTCCTGCCCGCCCCCCTGCGTCCAGACCCCATGTCAGCCTCTCCTCAGGTTAGACCTACTCTGGCCCAGGTGTGGTCTCTCCTCCCCTCCCGCGGGGTCCTCTTCCACTCCAGAGGGTGTCTCTCTCCAAGAGGAATCCCAGGCCCCGGGGATCGTGGATGGGCTGACGTGCCAGGACTCTGTCCATTCACAGCTCACAAGCTGGGAGGAGGGGAGCCTGGCGCGTCGGGCAGTGCGCCCTGTGATACAGGCTCCAGTGAGAAGAGTACAAGGGAGATGGGGCACATGGCCCTACAGCCCTGAATCACGGAGAGGAGGGTCTCCCAGGCCCAGGAAGGAACCCCGCTTACTGTGATGCACCCCAAGAATCAAGCTGGTCCCCAGTCTGGGAGCACCCTGGGGCCACTTCAGCCCCAAGGAAGAGTCTGGCCACCACGGCTCAATCTTGGGAGCCCAGTGAGGGGCAGTGGCTAAGAGCCAGGAGCCAGACCAGCACTGTCCCTTACGAAAGGTCCGTAACCTCTCGGTCCCTCCGTTCCCCCATCCTCACCGTGGGACTTGCAGTACCGACTCCATGGGCTACTGCTGCTGCGGCAGAACAAGCGAGTGAGTTTCGCCCCGGACGGCCCGTGGTGGGCCACTGGTGGCATTCCCGACCACCACGCCGCAGGCCTCGGTCTGCTTGCCAGCTCCGGCCCCTCGTAAGGCAGCCATCCCCTGCCTGTCCCAGGAGGCCTGTGTGTGTGCGGCTAGGATGTCAGACAGGTTGCAGTGCAGCTTCCAGACCGACAGGCTCGGAAGAAAGGCCTGGGGACCTGCTTCGGAAAGCCAACCAGTGAAAACCTCACAATCACAAGGGTCTGGTCTGAAGCTACCAGTTGGGACCACAGGGTGTGTGTGTGTTGTTCATTCCACTGTGCTCTCAGGGGGGTGAGAGGATGGCGGGCGGGGTGTGTGTGTGTGTGTGTGTGTGCACGCGCGCGCGCGTGTGCTAGGGGATGGGGCAGGGCAGATTTACTGGTTGGATCTGCCCTGGGGGAGTCGTGGGTTATGATCCGGAAGTTCAGCAGTTCAAAACCACCAGCTGCTCTGAGGGAGAAAGAGGAGGCTTTCTGCTCCGTCAAGAGCTATAGTCCTAGAGACTCACAGGGGCAGTTCTACCCCGTCCTGGGGGGTGGCTGTGAGTTGGGATCGACTATGAGGGAGTGAGTTTGTTTTTGCTTTTACTTCTTCGGGCTAGACCCCACCACCACTCTCCCGCCCAGTCTGGAGGCGTGGCCCCACAACGCCCCACTGTCAAGACAATGAGACCCTGCTGAGGTCACCTGCAAGTCCACACCTGCCAGCCCTGCCTTGAAATGAGCCCCCAAATTTCCACCACACAAACCAGCCACCTGCAAGAGCCAGGGCCGCTTGCAATAGCCCCGGAGGCGCCCCACGGGGCCGGGGCCCTGCTCACCACCACGCTCCTGCCTGCCTCCAGCGCCAAGTCTGCCACCGACAATTGGATCCAGACACAAGGTGAGCCCATGTCACAGAGCAGAACTGCTCCTTGGGGGTTTCCTGGCAGCAATCGCCAGGCCTTTCAGCAGCAGCGAAGCACAAACCCTTTGTGCCAACTCCACTGCCGGCAAGTCAATTCCCACTCGGAGTGGGACAGAACTCCTTCCCGGGGTGCCGGGCCTGTCCTGTGAATGGCAGCAGACAGAAAGGAGCTCCTTTTCCTCAGCTGGAGTGCCTCGTGGACTTGAACCACGGACCTGCTGGTTCTCACCGGACCACGTTGACCACTGCCCCACCAGGGGCCCACTCGGGACCCCTTACTCACCGCCACTGAGTTGATTCTGACTCGGCGGCCCTAGGAGAGGGCAGTACTGCCCGTGCAGGTTTCTGACCCTGTCAGTCTTTACCGGAGTAGAAAGCTCCACCCTCCTCCTGTGGAGCGGCTGGTGGCTTTGAACTGCGGACCTAGCGGTTAGGAGCCTGACGCATAACCACCACCCCACCAGGGCTCCTCCTTGGGACAGGCTGCAGAGCTGGGCCAATCCATGAAGAGTCTGGGCCCTGCACCAGGGCACAGGAACAGGCCCTGAGGCAGTTTGTGCAGCACTGTACGCTTTTCAAGAGATAATAGAAACTACAAAAAAATACAGCTTTTCAATAGAAAGTGCACCTCTGGAAAAGAATGATGGCAACATAGGTACAAATATGCTTGATACAATGGATGTATGGATGGTTGTTAAGAGCCCCAAATAAAATGATCTTTTCATATAAATAAATTAATTTTTAAAAAGATGGTAAATCCTTAAAAAACATTGCTTTTACGGACTGCCAAACCCATGCCCACTGAGCCAACTCCCGGCGACCCTCTACAGCAGCGGTTCTCAACCTGTGGGTCAAGACCCCTTTGGGGTGGAACGGCCCTTTCACAGGGGGTCGCCCGATTCATCACAGTAGCAAAATGACAGGGATGAAGTAGCAATGAAACAATTTTCTGGTTGGGGGCCACCCCCCACAGGAGGCACTGTATGAAAGGGTCATGGCAGGAGGCAGGTGGAGCACCCCTGCTCTACAGGGTTTCCGAGACAGTGGATCTTCCCGGGAACAGTCTTCATCTGGCGCCCTCAGAGTGGCTGGTGGGTTTGAACTGCCCACCTGGTGGCGAGCCCAGAGCAGGGATGTCAGTAGAAATAAAGGAAGCCATGACTACCTTGGGTGTGGGAGGCCAGATCCTACTTTTGCCTGTGGCAGTGAGTTTGCTGCGTGCCCATTGTGCCCACACCCCATCAGTTGGCAGGGGCAGACAGCTTGGCAGGGCCCCCTGGTGGCTGAGGTGAGCATCCCAAACGGAGGGTCACCAGTTGTGAGGACAGCACAGGACCGGGCAGACGGTGTTCTGCTCAGGGTTGTGGCTATCGATGGCACCTAACAACAGCAGGTGTGTCCTGACCGGTGGTTCAAGGCTACCAGGTGCTCTGTGGGGAAAAGATGAGGCCGGCCATCTGCTACCGTCTCTGCTCAGGCAGTCTCTGAAACCCTCTGCTGGGGGGAGCTCTGAGTCAGAAGTGACCGAGGGCAGTGGGTCTGCTGTGGGCCCTGGATGGCGGAGAGGTTTTCTGGGGAGGCGGCGCGGCAGGTGACAAGGACCAGGGCTCTGGCAGCAGGTGTGGCAGGCAGCGGGGCAGCCTCAGAAGTGGGGTGGGAGGCGGGGAGGCGGGGAGGCAGGCAGGCTGCCAACGTCCAGCAGGAAATGAGGCTGAGGGCCACCAGGTTTAGCCGCCAGAGAGGGGTCACGCACCAGCAGGCCCGGTCATCCAGTGTAGCCTTGGCAGGCCAGTGACCTGGGGATACCTGTGCATTTCCACTCTGACTTGGGCCCCGGGGCCACAGCTGGGCCTTCATCCAGACCCCATGGTGCTGAGGGGAACAGGGATGCTGTTTTGTCCCCCCAAACAGGGGATGCTTTTGACCCAGAGGGTCTGGTTTGGATACCTGCGAGCCCCCTGCTCACCTGTAAAAGGGGTCTAACACCACTGATCAGGCCTGGACCGCGCCAGGCACGGTGGCGGGCAAAGAGAATGGGCTCCTTCCCTCCTTCCTACGGGCGACCGGCACCTTGGCCACCTCGCTCAGTCCCTGCACCTCAGCTCTGACCAGGTGCTTTCCGGGGATGTAGCTGGAGCCTTGTCAACATGGTGAGCAAAGTAATTAAAACACTGGATGGAGAAGCAACCTGTGGGGAGCTCTGGGGCAGCGCAAAAGACGAAGTGTCTACACCGGCCTTGGAGGAAGAGCCTTGGAAGAAAGGCCTGGCGGCATTCCTCTGGAAAGCCGTGGCCCGAGGACCCCAGAGTCACGATCGCCTCAGCCACAACCACGTTGTTCAGTGGGGTTCCGACTCACAGCGGCCTGACTGACGTACAACAGCACCCCCGCCCCCACCCCCGACTGTTCCTACGTCTGAGCCCATCATGGCAGACTGTGTCAATCTGCCTCGTGGCGGGCCTCCCTGTTGTCTAGGCTGCCCCTTCACTCTGCCAAGCACGGTGTCCTTCTCCGGGCCGGTCTCTCCGGGCCGGTCTCTCCGGACAACACGTCCGAGATGCACCAGAGGAAGCAGCTTCTCCATCCTCGCTTCGAAGGAGCATGGCTCGGGGTTTTGTTTTAGCAAAAGCGGGCCGGAGGGACCGCTCTCTGGAGGAGGGTGTCCTGCTTGGTCAATTAGGGGGTCAACGAGAAAGTGGAAGGCCCTCCAGATGGACAGACGGATGGCACAGGGGCTGTAGCAACCGGAGTCAGGCTTAGCCACGGGTGTCAGACGGCACGCCTCGGGGTTGCTGAGCGAGAACACGCCCCGTACCTGGCAACAGCCGTGCACGCCAGAGCCCCTGCACTTGTCCCAAGCTGCCTGGCCCTGCGCTGGCTGGACTCTGGAGCCAGTAGTGCTGTGGTCTGGTTGCCTGGAGACTCCGAGTCACCTGAGAAGCCTCCCGGGCGACCTGTGGCCTCTCTCCATCCCGTCATCTCCATATGCAGGGTGCAGCTGCGAACCAAGAGGTCAGTGGTTCTGAGCCACCCTGTCTATCGCCCTCTGCCAGAAAGGTGTGCGCGATGGTTTCGGTTGAAGAGACAGCGTGGGGAGCCCACGCGGCCGTTCCCAAGATGTATTTGTTGTCCTGCCTCCTTTCAGACAAAAAACCAGAGAGAGACTCAGCCCTCTCCAATCTAAAACTGTTACTCTCATCCATAATTCGGGATAAAGTGTGTAATTTCGACAGAATTGCCCCCCAGGGGGCAGGACTGCCCACTTTGGGAAACACTACTCTCTAGAGTCACTGTGAGTCGGAGCTGACTGGACAGCAGCAGGTTTGCTTCAGTTCTTACAGAGGGACACAACCCTTCTGATGACCCCGCCCCCACCCCCCAGATGGTCTCCAGCTCAGAACCCCCACCACGGAGCGTGAGCTGCTGGCCACCCTGCCTCTCCTCCACGGCTCCCCAGTCCACACCTCCCATGCGGGAGACAGACAGCAAAGATCCCCGCCCCAGTCTCAATGCTTCCCCCATCCTCCACGTCCAGGGAGCCCTGGGGCTTCCTGCTAACTGCAAGTCAGCAGTTAGAGCCCCCCACCCCCCTACTCGGGACAAAGGTGGGGCTCTCCGCTTCCATGAAGAATGACCATCTCAAGAACGCAAGGGACAGCTCTACTCTGTCCCACTGGGCCCCTCAGAGTCGGAATCCACTTGATGGGATAGTTTGGTGTCTGGTTTTCGGCCACAGAAAAGTGGCCCCAAGGCCATCATCCTCCCCTCCTGCCTGCAGGCCGGGGGCTCAGACGTGGCTGCTGCGTGGTAGCCGACACACAGGCTCAGGTTTCCTTCACCCAAAATAAGTCTTCCCTCATCTCCTCCAGCTCTCTGCACCAGCCCTCACCCCTCTGCCACTGCCAGGCCCTTCACTGAGGCCGCCCTGCCAGGGCCCCCCATGGATCCCAGGCCACCTGGTCTCCCACTTCCTAGCCCCTGGCCCTCCCCCTGTTCCTCAGCCCCTCTCCTGTCTGCGTTGGGGTGGAGGGCTCCAGGGGCCCCTTCCCAGGTCACACCACAGCCGGGTCCCACCTGACCCGACCCCATCCCGTGTGGCTCCACCAGGTCTTCCCATATGGGGCCTCTCAGGAGCTGACCCCCCCCACCCCC